ACTTTCTCTCCAATATGTCTATATACACATAGTGTGTCTGTGCTGTAAAGGAGCATAAAACAACAACAGTTATAAAGTCTTAAAATGTGTTAGAGTGTTTATCCACCTGCGAATCCGTGTGGGCGACTCAGGCAGGTTCATGTCCAGTGTTCCCAGCAGCAGATTGATGTAGTGGATCCACAGATCTACACTCAGAGGGATTAACTGCAGACCCTGAACACACACCTGACACAACACAACAGCTCATAAAACTCAGTGAAAATGCTTCCTTAATACGCTTAAAATGTATTTAACTGTGTAGGAAGAAAGACAGAATTGTGAACTCTCTCTCCTGTTTTACCTCTTCCGCTTTGTTGTTGTACCCAGCGCGGCGCTCCAGATCAGCAAATTTCTTCCAGTAGCCGTAGCAGAGCGGGTAGCGAGCGAGGAAGGCTTCTAGTGCTCTGCGTGACGCTGTGACGTGACTCTGAACAGATGAGAGAAAAATTAAGTCCTTAAGGCTACAGCAAACTTACAGACCAGCATGCTTTGTGGCCTCACGGGGGCGCTGGAAGTCAATATTTCCAAGTTTGAGGTGGTAATGCATCATCATTGAGGGACTGTATGTTTGGACCTCATTGGTCCTCTTGTCTCTTTAAGTCACAACAGCAAACACGCACCTCTTGCTCGCAGTACTGCAGCAGGTCGGTCCAGCTGGTGAAGTCTTGAGGATTGTCGTGGGCGGCCTTCCACAGACGCTCAAAGTCCGCAGGCAACTCTCCCTCCTCGTCTTCTGCAGGTGGAGGCATGGAGAAGGAATCCGGCTGGGGGCCTAAGGGGACCTCAGGGGCTTCGGCGGCACTGCCGTTCTCTTCTGACATCTCTACCATCTCAGTCGGAGGTGATGCAGGAACCTCAGAAGCCTCCATCACTACAGAGGGGGAAGATCAAAAGGTAAATAAGTCAATCACCATTTACATCACTGAAAGGCTTTATACAGGTAAGAGTGACAGTTATACAGCTATTTTCACACAACATTAAATGACTGAGAATTTCGCACTTTGCTGTGACGTTGTTGTACTCGCTGTATGATGAAATGTATTAAACCTCGCTCTGCTTTTCCCTCCCATTACTCGACTGTAATGAGGTTCAGTGGCAAAGGAAAAACAGACACTTCAGTGCTTCTGTTTTCTTTGTAAATGACAAAACCAAGACAAAACTACAGAAGCACTGAGCACACTCTTACTTGTTTATTTGGTTGCGATAAAATGTAGACATTTTGACATTTTTCTAGCTTGTTTTTTTTTTAAATGAAGATTAAACACACAAAACTACTAAAAACTATCTAAAGCAAACACATCAATGTAATCTGATGTAATGAACTCTCCAGTCCTACGGGCCTACAGGTGTCCTAACAAACACAACAACAACCACATGTGCAAAACCCACACTGCGCACACACATGCTACAATTATTATTACAAACAATAATAAAAACTAATTATAAGTGAATCAGTCAGACACACTTTGAGATTCTGGTGGATTTGGTGTGACTGATTATTTAAAACGTTCAATCTTCACAGATTACAACAAACAGCAAACATACACAGCTCAGTATGGATGTAAACAAACTACTGTCCGCAGCTTGTGATCCACGCATGAATAAAACATCACCAAACAATAGTCCCGGCTCTTCTTCTACAAGCACCAGCTGTCCAGAGCTGCACAGCGCGGTGAGCTTTCATTCATAAAGCGCTCAGCACACACACGGACTGTCGGTGTGATTCAGTGTGTGTGTGTCACCAGGTGATGAGCAGCAGGTGAGCAGCATGCAGCGCACACACAGGTGAGTTAACAGAGTCAGTTCAGAGTTAACAAGAGTTAGTTCACTGAGCACTGCGCTGTGATCTCTCACATTACGTTAGCCTAGCCTAGCTCGCCGTGCTTCCCACAGAAACAGGTCCGACCGGAAGCTTTCATTCAAAACGCTCGCAGGTGAAACAGAAGCCCCGGCGACGTCTACGAAACCACACGACCGCGTATTTCACATTCATTAAAGTTACTGAAACAACCTGAAGACTCCTCGAGCTCCCCGTTGCCGCTCATCTCCTCACAGCCCTCCGCCGCCATGATGGAAAACGTCTGGCTCACGTCATTACCGCGCGACAACACACTGATGACGGTGAACGGACCGTGAACACAAACTGTTTCTGGTTGTTTAGCAACTCACTGTGCATTCATTCATTCATTCATTCATTCATTCATTATTTATTATTTATTATGATCGATTAATTATGATTTAGATTTATTATTTATGATCGATTAATTATGATTGATTATTGTTTATGATCGATTAATTTAAGATTTAGATTTACTTGCTTTATCCTGATCGACTTAATTAAGATTTAGATTGTATTGTTTTAAATGATCGAGATTAATTAAGACTTATAATTTATTATCTTATGGATCGCATATAATTAATGATTTAGATTTATATATTTAATATCAAGATTATATGGATTTATTATGATCGATTAATTAATGGATTTATTATTAATGATCGATAATTAATGATTGGATTTATTATCGTTATGGTATTCGAATTAACCTCTATGGATTTAAGATTTAATGATTTATGATCGATTAATTAATCGAATTATATTTATGATCTATTTCAACTTAATGGAATTTTATATTTATGATCGATTAATTATGTTTGGATTTATTTACTGATACGATATCATTATGTTATGATCTTATTTTCTTGATTGCCAAAGCTCAAAATTGAAAATACTGTTTTACCTTCGATGTTATACATAAAACAAATAAAGATTCTTACGGTTGAGTTGACTTGACTTCTACCACTTCTCACGTTTGTAAATTTAATTCATGTATAAAATCTTTCTTAATCTTGTAATGATAATTTGTCATAGAAATAAGGTCATTATTTACATAAGGGTTTTTTTTTTTTTTTTTTAAAGTCTGACACTGTGGGCCTCCCCTCAGACAAAGCTTGGAAAAAGACACCCAGGCCCACCTCTCACTTTGAAAACCTCTGGTCTACATCATCCCTTTTTCTTTCTAGCTAAAGTGCAAAAGAAGGGACTTCCCTGAGAAACCATTTCAGATTCCTGTAAATAAACTACAAACACACCCAGTGGCAGTTCTTAAAAAGCCCTCCACCGGTAAGATGGCACCATGTCCAAAGTTGATAAACGGATCCCAGGCATTGCCGGATTTAATCATTCACTTTCTCAACGAGATAAAGACTTCACTACATAAGTTATTACCTGATATGTAATTGTGACGAATGTCTAGGAAACATGATCCTGCACTACTTCGGTTTTGTACACTGTATAAAATTAGAAAACACCCACTATAACTTCCTCTGCAATGCATAATGTGCTTATTTAACCCAGTATTAACATTAAAGGTTTTTGGTATATCTCAAATTACTGTTCATAACTCCTTTACCACAGCATGACTGCAGTGTGGCTTAATGAACTGATCAATAAACTGCAGCTTTAAAGTCTGATATTAAAGGACCAACTATAATCATTAATCAGCCCCCAATGGAAGTTATATTGTCTTTTCCACCACTTAATTTAACTAGGTAATTTCAGCAGATCTGGCTATGGTTACTTTGTGTGTCACGTTATTTACTGTGTCTTGGTTTTTTAATTTTAAGATTAATAAAAAGTGAAAAATACGTTTATGGTTGGATTTTCTTAACTTACTGTCTGTATTGTGTACCACAAAGCTTCATGTTAACTGAGTGCAACTGGGCTCAGTAGTGTTTAAGCTTTAAGCTAATGATTGCTTTAAAAATCTTTCTGAAACCACCTTTTACTTTTAGAAAATGTGACACAGACCCAAACAAACATGAATACAAACAACAAATGTCTCATTGAATGACAGAAATGTAGTCAGGAAGGAACTCTCTTAATTGAATCAAAACCAGGGACTTCTTTTACATTTGGTCAACTTTATTTTCACTTGGTCTCATCTTTTTACGTCTGACAACTTTGATTGACAGCTGAAGTCTGTTCCTTTACTTCCGTTTCCACCAATTCAAGCCATCACCAACAAAACTGTAGCAACACGTATATTTATGATCATAAAAACAATCAAGGAGACAAACTCAACAACAAAACTCCTAAAAAAGGTCTGATGATTTGACTAGTCAGGACCGAACCCAGAGCCTCCAGAGAATAATTTGAAAATTCACAACTTCTCAGTGCGCACTTGGATATTCTTCTTTTGGGATATTTGCAAGTGAAACAGCTTTCAATGATTAGATTTATTTAAGATCCAAATGACACACTGGAAATCCTGGACGATCCCGACATCTAATAACACATGAAAATCTAAACAACTTTTTTTAAGTTCTCACTCTTCCTCAAGTGCATTAAAAATAATCTAGTAAACAACGCTGGGAAAAACAACTCCATAAAACAAAGAAAGCACGTCGACAGGATGATCCACAAACAAAGTGGTTCAGTCCCCTGAAGCGATTCCCCACTGACAAGTTTGCTCAAAAGAACGGCTGAAAATCCCCTCTGTGCAGCGGTTGAACGACCTGATCACCTCCACTGTGAAGCTATGACTCATTTCCACGCACACAAACTCATCACCGACAAACTCGGGGAGAGGCTGAACATTGAAGAACTGGCCAGGATTGGATTAGAAAGATGATTTCTTTCCATTTTGTGGCATCAACAAATGTTAAGTACTGCAGGATGAAAAGTGTAGAGCCACGCAGAGGACTGATGGCTAGCTCTCACCAAATATATATGAAACGTGGCACGAGTAAAGACGGTCGAGCTGATTCAAGTGCTTGGCTTACAAAAGAGGGATGGAATGATTTTTTTTTTGAATGAGTATCAAGTCAGGGACAGATAGAGGGAATCACCAGCAGGTGGAGCATGTGCCTTGAATGTGAACCTTCATTTCAATCACCCCAGAGTGATCTTTCCTCTGAGGCAGACTGGAGGACAACCAGGTGGACATTTCAAAAAACAAAAAGTGCCTGAATAGTTTCTTCTTTTTTTTTTTCCTTTCTTTCTTTCTTTAAACCCCAATGATTCATTACAATGACATGATTTGAGTTGCTCAGCTGTCATCTATCTGAAAAATGTGACAAACTTAATTATCTATCTAGTAGTAACTCCGTATTACAGTGTGACTGAACACAAGAGGGACATGGCAGAGACGTTAATGTGGCTCAGATCGACTAACAGGTCTGTATGCGTGTGTGTGTTTTAATGTGTTGTGTGTGTGTTCTTTTATTTTCCATTGTGGCTGTACTGTTGTCTTGCTTTAGGTTAGTCGTAGGTATCAGCGCCTTGTTTCTGTTCTCTCTCCTCCTGTTCAGTCCAGTTCAGTAATTTTCTCCTCTTGTCTCCATGGTTACTGAAGCGTCACGGTCCAGTCTACCCCTGCGTTCATGCCGGGTTTGCGGAGCGTCAACACAGACATGGAGGCGTCAAATTCAAACTCCAGCTGGCTCTCTTGACCACCTGCAGAAGAGGAGAGACAGTATTAGAGAAAGTAGGGAGAACAAGGTATGTGAATCTCACCCCAAACATCTCACTTAACCACACACATAATCTTTAAAACAAGAAGGGATAAGAACTTTGTTTTCTGACTCTCAGCCAGTCAAGCTGCACTTCAACAACCTCTGTGAAACAGCACTCAGGCTGAAATCCTTTAAAGTAATTTAATCATGTCTACGTCACAGGACACAGACAACTGTTTCTGAAAGTAACAGTCAAGTCTCTCTCTCTCTCTGTCTCTTCTCTCTCAAGTCACAAGATACCTTCTGTTCGTACCTATGTAACTATACCTTAATTTTTTTTTTTGTCCATGACTGATGCTGAGATCTTAATTCACACCTTTTTTTCATCCAGACGTGATTATTGTAATGCTGCTTTGTTATCTTGTCTGCTGCTTTCTAGCACTACAAGTCTCCAAATGGTTCAAAATGCTGCAGATAGAATCTGAACTAAAACCAGACTTCTGCTTCTAATGAATTACAAACTTCTTATCTATCCAATCTCACTAAACCTCATGTCCCATCCTGTGCTCTCAGAATACTACAGAGTCTGGAATAACCTCTCTGCTGACAGCAGACAATCAGTCTCAGTCGATGTCTTTAAATCCAAACTTCAGGCCTCGCACCTGGATTTGTCCCTGTTAAAAAGGGGTTATTTCTTTACACGAATACAGAGGATGCTGAATGTTGCACAGATTGTAAAGCCCCCTCAAGCTAATTGAGATTTGTGATTTTGGGCTATATAAATAAAATGTGACCCGACTTTGAAGTGTGACCACAGCCAACCCTTTCACAGCCGTTTTCTGACTTTTCACACTTCTCTAAACCGCTGTCTGGAGAAGCTTCAGTGCACACAAAGTAAAGTTGTCCAAACAAAATGGCTTCAAGACTGAGCAAAAACATTTGGTAGTACAACCTGAGAAAGTAAGTTGTAGCAGTAGTTGACATTACAGCTAAAGGTAAAAGGAGAAATGAGAAGCCAAGATGATTCATGAGTAATGAATGGATTCAATCACTTGTATTAACATGTTTTAATTTGGCACAAACAAGAGGGGCGGATTTACTTCCATGCTGTCTTATTTACTGTATAAGAGAAACTTACAAACTATTTAACAACCATCTCTTCTGCTTCTTTTATTACTGTGTTCACGTTGATTCAACTTCCATCCAGTCTTTGAACTCAGTCGTATAAACCTTGCTTAACTGCCTCTTGCGAAAACCACTAGAGGCCATTTTAAGATTCCTCTGAGCAGAAATGAGTCAACCTGTGAGAATTGTGTTCAGAAAAATGTGAGAGAAATGCTGTGAACGACACTCACCAGCAGTCTTAAGGGTGACCTTGCTGGGCTTACTGGCTCCCAGTATGACAATGCGTTCGATCCAGGAGCGGGTGGAAAACTGGGCCTCTGGAGCCAAGTTACTGTGGACCAAGCAGAGACATGGATTTAATATGCAAGAGGTTTTACAGTACAAAAATGATCAAGCCCCCCTAGAAGAGAAAGAATAAATGGTTCCCCACTTGTATGCTGATTCCTACTGTTGCTGTTTTTCTTTAACATTTAATGTCTACAGTAGTCTTACTGTACTTTTATTGTGT